CCCAGCATCTTATTGGTTCCATCTTCCTTCCCCCCTACTGGTCGTCCTGGGCCACCCTCCTCCTGGACCCTAGAGTTCCCATCCCACCCCACCCCTGTTCCCTCTTCCCCGGGGAGCCCTGTTCCTCACGGCTGGCCAGTCCACAGAGCACCAGTTTGAAGGGCGTGAGCACGTAGCACAGGTGGTAGGCTTGTGGTATGGCCTTCATGCAGTTGTCTTTCCCTTCGTCAAACACCTGCGCACACTTCTGGTAAGGGTTGCCCAGCTCCGAGTTGCACACGTCCCCAATGTGGAGGAGCCAATACCACACGTTCCGCAGGGCCCTGGCTGGGGGCAGTGTGGGGCTGGCACCCAGGCGAAGTCCCACAGCTGCTTCTAAGGAATTTGCGGGACAAAGCAACCAAGCAGCACCCAAAGTTGGAGAGGCCTGCGTTCAGGGGCCTGGCTGTGCTGTGTCCAGTAAGTAGTAGCCAGCACCCAGGGGGCCCAAGCAGGTCTGGACAGGCTGAGAGTGCAGAGTCTAGGTGCACTTTGACCTCCAAAGCCAGGTATGCTGAAGTGCTCACCTACGTGTTTCACACCGTCCATGATCGCCCGGAAAAACTTGCGGACCCGGTCGGCCACCACTTTGGCCCTCTGGGCTATAGCTTTAATCTTGCTTAGAGCACCTGAGGGACAAAGGACAGAGCACTGCGGGGTCACCTCCTCCTGCAGGGACTGGTTCTCGCCATTGCCCGGGGGCAGAGAGGAGATAGGGGGCTGGGAGGGTTCAGGGAGACCCCTGTCCAGGCCCATCTAGCTCTAAGGCTAGACCACTGTATCAGCAGAGAGCTGAGGGGACCCCAGGTCGGAGCTGGGGGACCTGGCCGGGAGTCGGGCGGGGCTTACTGACGAGGGGCTGCTTGGCTCGCTCCAGCGCTTGCGCAGTCTGGTTCAGGGCCAGCTCTGCCCCGCAGGCCACCGCCTCGCTGGCCCTGGTGAAGTTGCGCAGGGTGTTGGCACAAGGGCCCTGGAGCACCAGCCCGAAGGCGGCCAGCAACAGCAATGTCTGTCCTTGTTCTGGGAGAAAGCACCATCACAGCCAGGACCCCACCCGAGGCGAGGGAAGTCCCTTCCTAAGGCCTCAGGATACCCCGAGCCCCCTCCCTGTCCCCTCCCGGCTGTCCCCTCGGCCTTCCCCCCTCCCAGCTGTCCCCCTCCCGGCTGCCCCCCCGCCTGCCCCGGCCGGGCTCACTGGAGAAGGCCTGGGGCAGCAGCAGGAAGACGGTGGTGCGGACCTGGCGCGAGAAGCCCAGGCCCAGACCCAGGAAGGCGGCCAAAGTGACGGTGCCCACCAGGCAGCCCCAGGGGCTGTGCCCCTCCACCAGGAGCTCCAGGAGCCCGTAGGCCGTGGCCAAGGACAAGCCCAGGACAAAGGCCCCAAGGCTTCGGACCAGAGCCCGCGCCCTGCCAGGCTCCTCGGCCCCCAGGGGCAGCGCCGCGTCCGCCATGTCTTGGGCTGTGTCCGGGCTCAGCCCCGGGTTCCAGGCCTGTTCTAAGGTTCTGGAGCCTGTGTCCGGAACCCCTCCCAGTTCCGGGGAGCCGAGCCTCTGACCTCCTTCCCCACAGACTGGGACGCAGCTGTGCTGAGGCAGGAGGCAGGGCCTCTCCCCTCTCACGGGGAGTCTGAGGAGGTCGAAGGCGACTTCTGGGATGGGGTTCGGGGTCCCCCAGAGCCGACTGATGGCCATGAAACGCCAGCCAAATGGAGCAGCAGGACGGAGGACACTGCCCCATACCAGTGAGCCGGTCACCTCCGCCTTCCCGGAACCCCGGCCGGCCTCACCCCGTCCCCGGGGCTCCTCCACGTCCCCACCCCCTCACCCAGGCCCCAGCCCTGTCCTCCTCCCCTTCCCTCCTGCCCCATTTCTCCAGGGTCCCTATACACCTCCAGTGTCCCCGAGGGTCCCACCGCCACCCCCCAGCTCCCCCAGCCTCTCCCCTGCCAGTCCCGCCCCAGGAAGCCCACCCAGGTCGGGGGAGCTGAGAGCTGCACCCCGCACCTCCTAGCTGTGCACCGGCTGCTGAGCTGGGGGCTGCCCGCCCCCTGTCACCAGTTCCTGTGGCGCCTGCCCGGCCAGTTTCCGGTCACTGCTTTCCTGCTGGGAGCAGGCACTGGGGGACTCTTGGCCATAGGTGAGGGTGGAGGCAGAAGGTCAGGGGGTGGACAGGACTGGACCAGGACTGTCGGTTGACCTTGGACTTGACCCCTGCCCTAGGCCTCTTCCAGCTCCTGGTGAACCCCATGGACATCTACGAGGAACAGAAGATGGTGGCCATCTACGGCTTGGTGGGTCAGTGCTTGCAGGGGCGCTTGCAGCCGCCCAGTCTTGGTTGCTGGGAAGGAATCAGAGCTTGGTTCCTCTGTGGCGTCAGCCTCCTCTTGGCCTCCAGGGGGAGGTCCCGAGGGAAGAGGCCCAACATAAGAAGGCACCTTCCTGTCCTGGGCCTTAGGGAGTCCCCACAGCGGGAGGGACTCCCGACTGCCACGTGGGATAGTGCAAACCCCATCTCCCTCCTCACCCCCCTCTCTTCTGAGCTCCTGGCCTTTCCTTCTCCTCCTGAGAAGATGGTCCACTCGTTCATTCAGCATCACTGAGCGTCTGCGAGGCTGAGCCGCGGGCAGGCCGGCAGGCGCCCACTGATTCCAGTGGAGAGAGTGACAATCAGCGAGCGATAAACAGAAGGGCACTCCTGGGGGGGGGGTCGAGCTTGTGGCAGAGCGTTAGCCTAAGGTGAGCGAAGCCCTGGGTTCAGTCCCAGGACGGCAAACAGCAGAAGAGGAAAGAAATCAAAGAAAGAAAGAGAGCATTTCTTTTTTTTTTTTTTAACATTTATTTATTTATGTATCTTTAGCTTTAGGCGGACACACTATTTTGATTTTATGTGGTGCTGAGGATCGAAGCCAGTGCCTCACGCCTGCTAGGCGAGCGCCTACCATGCGCCCCAGCCCCAGCCCCAAGAGAGCATCTCTGATGGTGACAAATGGCATGAACTGAGGAATGTGACAGAAAGGGGCTGAAGGGCGGTTAGGGAAGGCAAGTCAGAGAGGGTGACCCCTGACACACAGTGGTGCTGGGGACAGAGGGAGGTAGAGGGTCACACGCGCCAGGCAGCTCTCTGGCCCTGAAGGTGACATCGGAATGCTGGACTGCAAGAACCGAAAACCCACCTAAAAGTGGTCTAACCATAGAGGAAGTTTATTATCTCACTTAACGAAGAGGTTCAAGGTACGGTGGTTTTGGAGCGTGCATAATTAAACAGCTCAGCAACCCCATCAAAGAGCCAGGCTCCTGGGCTGGGGATGTGGCTCAGGGGTCGAATGCTAACCTAGCATGCATCGAGGCCCAGGTTCAATCCCCAGTACCACAGACAGCAACAGAAACAGACCCAGGGTCCTTCTCTCTTTTCTCTGTTGATCTTAATCCATCCATCACTCCTCTTGAGGTTACAAAATGGCTGCAGCAACTCCAGGCATCACATTGCCATACGAAAGACCAGAAAAGAGAGGAAGGAGTTTCCCTTTCTTACATCCCTTTTATGGAAGTAGGAAAATTTCCCTTTAATCTCCCTGGCAGGCTTTCTCTCACATCTCTTTGATCAGTACAAGGCACACCCTTTCCTGAACCTGTCCTATGCAAGAGGAATGGAGTTAGCAGTGCCACCAATTTATTGAAAGAATAAACGAGAATCTTTGGTCAGAAGGCCAAGACCAAGACCACAGAACAAATTACTACATTGTGTGTGTGTGTGTGTGTGTGTGTGTGTGTGTTACCAGGGATTGAACCTAGGGGCCCTCAACCACTGAACCACATCCCAAGCCCTTTTTATTTCTTATTTTGAGACAGCGACTCACTAAGCTATTTTATGGCCTCACTAAGTTGCTGAGGCTGGCCTCCAATTTGCCATCCTCCTGTCTCAGCCTTCCAAGTCACTAGGATTACAGGCATGCGCCCCTGCACTGGACAAAAACCACTTTTCCGCTGACCACCGTGTTCACACATGTTCTATAATGACCTTTCCCACAGACCCTTAGCTTTCCAGGTACTTTCTTGGGGAAGACCCAGTCCTGCTCCAACATTCATGCTTTATTTTTAGGGATTAAGCAGTCCAGTCTTCTCTGCATCAGGATTTCAAGGTCACACCCATTCTCCAGTGTCCCCCCTCCCCCCCTGCTCAGCCTGGCCCACTGCGGGTGGGGGGCCGCGGTGAGGAGGGGCTTGGCTCTTTTCACTTTTTTCTCCGCTTCCTTCCCTTGCTGGTTCTTCTGATGTCAGAAAGCGGATTAGAAGAATCAGAGGAAAGGGGACAAAGTCTGAAGTCACCAGGGCTGATACAATTCCTCCACCGGGGCCCTCCGAGTGGCAGGCAGCCCCGGCTTCTCAGAGCCCATTTATGGTCTCTTTGGAGGCTCTGTGTGTAGCTGAGCGGCCCAGTTTCCTGCAGAGGGCGGTTCTATCTGGATAAGCTCCAAGGAAGCCCCCTTCGCCTCCTTCCTTAGGGGTCCTCCCCCCCCCCGCCCCCCTGCCTCCTGCTTGCAGGGCCACACGGGTGGCTCCAGGCTGCCATCTTCCAACGTGTGTTGGAGGCAATGCTCACCCCCTTGCCTGCCGAATGAGACAGCGGGCACCGTGTCTGCCCTCTCCCTGGGCTCTCCACTGAGGCCCATGTGACACCCATTCTCTCCATAGATGATTCCTGCCCATGCCAACCACTCTACTCTTTGAGAAAACTCACATTTCTGGTCTTTTTATATAAATTAGCTGGTGGGGGAAGGAAAGACTCATCTTGCTCTTTTTTTTTTTTTTTTGGTACTAGGGATTGAACCTAGGGCTGATTGACCACTGAGCCACATCCCCAGCCCTGTTTTTACACCTTTATTTTTATTTGTTTATTTCTATGTGGTGCTGGGGATTGAACCCAGTGCCTCACGCGTGCTAGGCTGCTAGGCGAGCGCTCTGCCCCTGAGCCACAACATCACCACCCTCCCCCAGCAAATTTAATTTAGAGACAGGCTCTTTCTGTGTTGCTTAGGGCCTCGCTAAATTGCTGAGGCTGGCTTTGAACTCACCATCCTCCTGCCTCAGCCTCCCAGCCCCTGGGATTAGGTGGACATCACGGTGCCCTGCCTTGGTTTTTCTCTTTTGATAAACCTAAAAAAGATACCAAAAAGCTCCATGGGGCTTTTTTTGTTGAAACACAGGGCAACTATTTGTCAACTATTGTCCTCAGCTGGCGTCTCTGGCCACAAGACCAGGAGCACAGGACGAGTCCCTTTCAATGTCCCGTAATACCGTGATTGGTTGAGACAGGTCCAGACTTACCCCCCAAGATGCTAGTGCCCAAGATGCTGGGCAAAGAGGGCAGGCTGTTCATCCTGGGATACGCCTTGGCTGCTATCTGCCCCAGGGGCCAGGGCAGGACCAGGCCGCTGCCCTTGAACAAAACCCAAGCTGTGTTAGCAAGAGAGAAGGCAGGAAAAGTGCAGGGTGGCACCCGCTGGGCTTTGCCACAAACCTGTATGACTAGGTGGGGCCGGCCCTGAGGAAGAGGGGAGGGGCGATGCCGGCCCGGCAGCCAGGGCACCTGAGAGGAGCAATGGCAGCCAGGTGGGTGGACACGGCGGGCGACGGCCGAGGAGCATGAGATCACTTCCGAAGGTGGGCAGGGGCCCGAGTGCCAAGATCTAGGGGCCTTCCCTGTCCAAGAGTCTGGGCTTTACCCACCAGCAGGGAAGAAAATCACGGATGATTCCAGGCCGGACGGTTAGGATCCGATTTATGCTTTTTTTTTTTTTTTTTAACAGGATCATTCTAGAACAGCTTTGTGAAAATGGAAGGGTAAAGCAGCAAGAGGGGAAGAGGAAGACCAGTTAGAAGGGACCTAGTCAGCCAGGGACTGGGGCGGGTGCTCAGAGGTAGAGCACCTGGTCCGGGAAGTTCCAGGTCATGGGTTTGATCCCTGGCGCCACCACAACAAGGAAGTTTCTGGTCCCTGTGAGACGTCTTAGGGACCCTGAGAGGACAGTGGAGATGGAACAAGGACGTCTAAGGGCTTGGGCTTTGCTTTGACCACCACTGAGCACACCCTGCCAAGGGCACAGGAACCTTCTAGCGTCCTTGACCAGCCTAAGCTGGGCCTTGGGCCTGGAATGTCATCTGGGCCTGTGGACAACACTTACTCATCTCCAGGCCCAGATGACACGTCCTCTCCTTTGTCCACCCCCGGCCCCACCCCTCCCTGCAGAAGCGTCCCGCCCTCCTTGGTTCCTGGCTCAGAGCCTGGGAGTCATTTGTTGACTTGAGGTCTCCTCCCTGGGTCATGAGCTTCGGCAGCTCACTGTCTCCTTGAGACCACAGTGAGACGCAGGTGACACTGCTGAAACCCACCAGGACGGGTAGGGCACGGGAAGGAGGGCTCCCGGAGGGCAGAGACCGAGTGATGTAGGTGTGGAGGGGGGCCCTGCCCTCTCTCCATCACTGAGCACGAGGGCCTTTTCCAGAATTTTCCTCTTGTCCTCTGCTCTTTCGTCACTTAGGGTAAGTGTGACTCCAGTGTTTCCCTCCCTGACACACACAGGCACGCCCAGACACACGCCCATCAGGCAGCGACCATGACGCTTCTGTCTCTAGCCCCCTCTCCCTGCCCTTCCAGAGACAGAAACTCTGTAAATGGCTGTTGAATGAATGAGTGGCCCAGAAGGGCCATCCGAGCCAGTGGGGGCCAGGGCAGGATGGTGGCCAGTTCAGAAGGGAGTTGGGACAGGTAGGGGCTCTGGTAAACGTGGCGGGCAAGGCGGCTTCCTCACCCTGCCTCAACATCCCCTGGGCTCTCCTGACAGGCTTGGGAGCCCTAGGCTGGGGGACGTCCCCTCACGTCCGCTGTGCCAGCCTCCTGCTAGTGCCCAAGATGCTGGGCAAAGAGGGCAGGCTGTTCATCCTGGGATACGCCTTGGCTGCTATCTACGCAGGTGAGGGGTGTTCCTGAGCGCCAGTTAGTGACACTGGGTGGAACGTCCAATGGGGACCGGGCCTGGTGACAGAGAAAAGAGAGGGGGTGGTTCTAATCTGAGCTGTGGCAGCTCACAGGGTGTCCCTAACCCCCCACCCCCGGACCTCCCTAGTTGACCAGGAGAAAGAGTCAAGGCTTCTTGGCCTGTCACTGCACAGTGCCAGGAGGGGGTTGCTCCACACAGAGGAGCTAGGGATGCGTTTGAGAAAGTCCTGGCCCCACAGGGAAGTGACCGATGGGGCCTCTTCCTCCAGGGCCAGTGGCCAATCTGCAGCACAACCTCAATGAAGTGATAGCATCTCTGGGCTGCACCGTGGAGCATCAGATCAAGAACGCCCGCGCGGCCTGGCGCATCTCCACAGCCCCCCTGCGAGCAGTGTTCAAGGACCTACTGGTCAGGACTGTGCACAGACGAGGCCTGGGGGTCCCTTTCCCTGTGGCCTTGGTTTGCAGTTTCCTAGTGGGGATACGGCGAGTTTCTGGGGTTTTGTTTGTTGTTTTTTTTTTTTCAGAACTGTCCCCAAACATTGCAGAATATGCCCAGACCTGCTGAGTACAGTGACACCCACCTGTAATCCCAGAGACTCAGGAGGCTGAGGCAGGAGGATCACAAGCCTGAGCTCTACCTGGGCAGCTTAGTGAGACCCTGTCTCAAAATAAAAAAAATGAAAGGGCTGGGGATGTAGCTCAGTGACAAGCACCCGGGGTTCAGTCCCAGTACCATTCCCACGCACATAAGGAAAATGCCCCGTCCTGGGGCTCCGAGTTCCAGGAAACCCCTGCCCCTTGTTAGGACATGCCCCACGGATCTTTCCAAATACCTGAGTGGGCCGAGCTCCGAGTAGATGAACCAGAATGTTGGGAATGGCGCTTGGGCTTTGAAGAGCAGGCTTTGAAGTGTTGAAGAGAAGGGACGTTGGGGAGATGGGACCCCAGGGCTGGGCAGTTGGGGATTCAGGTGGCATGATGATCTGAGAGGTCAGGGCTGAGGGGAGAAGTCCAAGGGCCAGTAAGGATGCGGAATGGGAAGCCTGAGAGGGACTGGAGGCCTGGGAGGTCAATGGGCAGCTGGGGAGAGGGGAGGCCCCGGGGCCGCTGGGAGGAGAGGCCGAGCCGTGGGCTAGCTCCCTGTAGGCCCGAGTATGACCTGGTGACGAAAGGTTGGGGAGCAGAAGCCCCGGACCCCACGCCTCCTGCTTTCCTCCCTCCAACCCCAGAGCAGCAGAGCATCGTTGAAAGCAGAAGCGAAGAACATTTCCACCTCCTTTGAGGACCTGGATGCCCAGGTGAATAGTGAGGCTGGCTTCGTTCCTGAGGATGCCGCGGACTCGGAAGAAACAGCCCAAGGTGCCCAGGCCCGCGGGGCCCCACGCTCCAGACTCCACCTCTCCACCCAGAAGATGTATGAGCTCAAGACCAAGCTGCGCTGCTCCTGTGAGGGAGCCCCGGGGAGCACAGGGAGGGGCAGGCCACAGCGCCGAGGGCCAGGTCAGGGCGTGGGGACCTCAGACACCGCCACCCCTTCCTGCAGATGTGGTGAACCGGGCCATACTCAGCTGCCATCGCTGGTTTGACCAAAAGCATCAGGAGTGCATGCGGCGAATCTCAGTCCCGCTCCTCAACCACTTGTTCTGCCTGCCCATGAAGTTCAAGTTCTTCTGTGACATTGCCAAGGGTCAGCACGTGAGAGCAGGGTGGGGAGCCGAGTCCTAGGGGACCTCCGTAGGTGTGAGGCAGGAAAGCAATCATGTGGAGAGGGACCCACCCAGCTCTGTGACCCCAGTGACTTACAGCCAAAGCCTTGCTTTGCCTCTTCATCTGAAAGATCCACGTTATAGTGCTCATTGTTTTTGCACCAGGTGCTTAACCACTGAGCCACATCCCCAGCCCTTTATCGTATTTTATTTAGAGACAGGGTCTCTCTGAGCTGCTTAGGGCTCAGTTGCTGAGGCTGGCTTTGAACTCGCCATCCTCCTGCCTCAGCCTCTCACGCTGCTGGGATTACAGGTGTGCACCACCTGGCTTTTTTAGGGGTTTTGAGGACGCAAGGATATAATGCACCTGGAGCAGGTAACAGAGCTGGTACGGAGGGGAATCCTCATCAGTATCTGGCGTGGTTAGGAACAGGTGAAACTGGGAGTCGGGGATCAGACCTTGTTTCCGGAAGGAAAAATCCAAAGGTGGGGGGTAGGAGGAAATCAGTGTGGTAGAACGTCACGAACAGAGAGACGGAAAACTCTAAAAATCAGGCTGAAGAGGCTCACAGGAGGGCAGGCAGGCCAGCCAGGCCCAGGCCCGCAGGCCTCAAGCGAAGACACTGACCTGGTCCCACCGTCTGTCAGTGATGGAGGTTTGGTGTCGCAGTCGCATCCCAGTGGAAGGCAACTTTGGGCAGACCTACGACTCCCTCAACCAATCCATTCGTGGTCTGGATGAGGAATTTTCAGCCAATATTGACATCAAGGTAGGAGACACGGACGTGGGTGGATGTGTGGGGGCAAACAGGGAAAAGGGGGACAGCATTAGAGAGGAAAGATAGACAGGCCCAAGTAAGAGGAGCCTGGGGGTGAGAGGGGAACAGGAGGGAGGGACGATGGCGTGTGTGGGGCGATCACGCGGAGACTCTGGTGGGCATGGACCTGGCTTGGAGAGGAAATGGTTATCCGGGTAGAGACGGTGTCGGCTAATACAGGTGCAGAGGAGCGAGACTGTCATAGAACAAGGTGAGCAGATAAAGGGACAAGTCCTGAAGGTCCCCGGAGGCTCCTGGGGCTGGCGTGGAAGAGGCTGGTGTGGCCGGGCTGCAGGAGGCTGCTCTGCACGTGTCCCCGCAGGAGGAGAGGCAGGCCGCGGTGCTGGGCGTCAACCTGAGCTGGCAGCACGTGAGCACGGAGGTGCGGGAATCCGTGCAACGGCAAGAAGCCCGGCTGCAGTGGGCCCTGGGGCTGCTGCACGTGCTGATGTCCTGCGCCTTCCTGCTGGTCCTCCACTCGTGAGCGGCCTCTTCCTCCCCCGGGGCGGGAGCCCCATGCTGAGGGAGGCTGTCAAGAGGGAAGGACAGAGCCCATCCCCGGCTCTGAGCCCCAGTGCCATTTGCCTCTGGTTTTGCCTTTTTTATGATCCCGGGTTGTTGTTTACAGAAAGTCAAAGGACGGGTGGCATTTTTGCAGGAAGAAATGTTACCCAGGTTCCCACCATCTTAAAAGGGCAACGGTCTTCATTTATCTACCTCCTTCCAGCCTTTATCCCAATTCTGACTTTTTTCTTTAACATTTAGCTCTGACTTTTGATTTTTCTCTTGCCCTTCATATTCCCTTGGCTCTGACTTTGTGCCATTTTTATCGTCCAATTTTGCTTTCATTCTCTCCTGCCTGCTGCGTTGGCAGCCACTGTCCCTCCATCTAGAACAAAGTCCTCTACCCCACCCAGCCTGGCGTCCAGCGGGGCTGCCCTGGGCCTCTCTCTGCTCCGGTTTCCCTGCCGACTTCTGGACCCTCTATTTCCTGTCTCCACCCCCAAATGCCTGAGACGGGCAGAGGCTAGGCAAGGGCTGCCATGGGGGCCCTTGCTCTCTGTCCCTGTTCATGAGGCTAGAGAGACAGAAAAGTGAATGGTTCCGTGTGTACCCAGGGCCCGGGAGAGGACAAAGGTGAATGAGCCATATTCCTGCCCTCCAGATACTCCTGGTCTAGTTCTGTGGTGAAAGAGACACCCGGAAGGCCGAGATGGCTCTTGAGGGCCGGACCAGGAACTGGCTATGGGACAGGTGTGAGACCTGAGGAGGTGCCTCTGGAAGGGCCATAACTGGGTTCCAAAAGGCAGCATGTGAGGGGCCACGGTCAAGGATAGGAAGGGTGATGTCTTGAACAGGCTCTTGGTTATCTGCAGGGTGTAGAGGGCAGAGACAGGGGTGGAGGACTGGGACAAAGTAGGCATGACCAGAAGAGTGTGGAAAGCCCTGCAGGAGGGCCCTGATCTGGGGGTGGTTGCAAGTTGGCAGCCTGGGAGCCAGGAAGCCAGCCTGAGTGAGAAGTGAGGGAGCCGGCCTGGGGGTGGAGTTGGCAGGGCAGGAAGTTGGCCTGCGATGGGAGGAGGAAGGACAAGTGCACAGCAGTTCTCAGAGCTAGCTTGGGGAGGGAAGGAAGGAGGCACAAGTCAAAAGCCATTTCCAGGCTTTCTACCTGGGTGAGGTCATACACCAAAGGGACAGGAAGCCCCAGCAGGGTAACAGTAGGTCTCTCCACAAGGGGGCGCTCCTACTCTGCCTTTGCATTTATAGTATTTCTAACAGGCAAAGATGGGATTTTTACAGGGTCCCAGAACCAATAGCATTGGAATTTATGTTTCACACTTCACCGAGTTTATTCAATGTACTTTCACAGTGTAGAATACATTCCCAACAATTAACATTTTTCCCTTAGGGAACTGAAGCACTGTGTGGGATTGGGGGAGACACATAAAGGATGGCTACAAATGCCCACAAGCCAACACCACTGTGGAACTCAGGGGGAGCCAGGCAAGGGCGAGAGTGCATGAATGAGCCAGGGAAAAGGAAAGTGGTAGCTTTGGATGAGTTTTGCTTGAGGTAGGAGACGGGCTGTGGGCAAAGCCGAGAGGCAGGGACTTGGGGAGAGAACGTGGGAGTCACAGTGCGCTGCGATTCCTGCAACCTAGAGGAGTGTCTCGTCTCTGTGCCTCGCGTGATATTCATCCTGCCAGATGCCCGAAGCCCCTACCTCACATGTGCACACCCACCTCTGTCCAAGCCTCCCCTCCTCTCCTCTAGCCACTGTGGCTCAGCAGTCACGAGGGTGGACAGCTGGAAGGCAGGGCCAGAGCCTCCTTCCCCAGTCATGACCACCGCTTAGCACAGAGCCCAGAACCTACGGGTGCTCAGTGAACCCTGGTTGGTGGGCGGCTCAGTGTCTGGTCGGGTGGGTGAGGAACCCTGGAGCTGAAGATGGCACATCCGGAGCCACCCGTCCACAGGTGCTTCTCCTACATGGACAGCTATAACGGGGACATTCGCTTTGACAACATCTACATCAGCACCTACTTCTGTCAGATCGACGAGCGCAGGAGGAAGCTGGTGAGCACTAAGCCCTGCCTTGCTGTGTGTCCCTGTGGGCTTCAGCTCCAGGAGGGCAGAGGGGAGAGGGCAAAGGCCCCAGGGTTCCTCTGTCGGGCTGTTTTCCAGGGTAAACAGACTCTGCTGCCCCTCCGCAAGGCTGAGGAGAAAACTGTCGTCTTCCCCTTCAAGCCCACCATCCAGGCTCAAGAAATGAAGAACCTGGTGAGGACAGCGAGGGCGCAGGCCTGGGGGCGCAGCCACAGGCTGCTGAGGGTGGGGGGCAAAGGGCACCCGAGGGTGCTCCCTGCCAGGGAAGGTGGTGGCCCAGCCCTACCCTGGGCTCCTTGTGCAGGGGAAGGAGCTCCTGGGCACGCTGCCCATTGCGCTGCTGCTGCTGCTGCTGTGCGGGCTGGACTGGGCGCTCTACTCGGTCTTTGACACCATCCGCCAGCACTCCTTCCAGCAGTACTCCTTCCGCAGTGAGCCTGCACCCCCCCAGGCTCTGCAGAGTCCCTGGGGAACTCCCACCCCACGCAGCCGCCCCACCGGGTCACCTCCTCCTGCTTCTTCTGCTCTGCTTCCTGTGGCTCCTTGTCCTCCCAAGGTCAAATCTCAGCCCTGCAAACTGACATGGGCCTCAGTCAACCCTGTACAATAGGAAGGGGTCAAGATTCCCTGAAGTCCTAAACCAGGCAAGGCCCAGCATGCCTGCAATCCCAGAGACTCAGGAGGCTAATGCAGGAGGCTCCCAAGTTAGAGCCCAGCCTGGGCAACTTCAAATAAAAAGGGCCAAGGATGTGGCTCAGTGGGAGGGCACTCCTGGGTTCCACCAAACAAAACTTCTAGTATGGACTCCTCCCCCACCTCCAGTCCGGCCTGTCCACCTCTCTACCCACTTAACGCCCACTCTTTCCTGACCCCCTCATCTGGCCTCAGGCAGTCATAAACTGGAGGTGAAGGTAGGGGGAGACTCCATGCTTGCCCGGCTTCTTCGGAAAACCATTGGGGCCCTGAACACCTCCTCAGACACAGTTGTGGAATCAAACAACCTGCGTGAGTGATGCCGGAAGTTTGTATCAGAGGAATGGGGGGGGGGGGCGTTGCTGAGAGCTGGGTTCCTGTGCCCAATGGCAATAATGAGGATATGATTTTGAGAAAAAGGAAAAAGAAGGTTTATTGCTTTGCTAGCAAAGGAGAAACACAGGGGACTCCTGTCCCAAAGGCTGTGATTCTGCCCATCAGCAGGAATGGGGAGCTTTTTAAAGAGGTGACTCAAAGGCTACATTCCACGTGTTCTCCACGGAGTGGTAACTCACTGGCTAATTTGGGAGACAGTCATTTCTGAGATCTTCTGTTACCATCCCCAAAGTCTGGATGACTTCGTTCCTATGGTGGGTGTGTACTCTCGGGACAGATAACTCTGCCAAGGATGGGGAACAAAGGTAATCCTGTTTCCCCTGAGATTAGGGAGGGGAGGGCTTAGGGAGGAGCAGGGAGAGAGGAGGAGAAAGAAATGTCCATTTTAAAAATAGGTTGCAGTGGCAGAGCAGCAAGGGCTGTATTCAGCATAAAGTGGACACTGTTACTGGGTCAAAAGATCCAAGGTAAAGAGCTGAAGGACTGGGCTGGGACGGAGCTCAGTTGGTAGAGGGCCTGCCTTGCGTGCACAAGGCCCTGGGTTTGATCCCCAGCACCAAAAAAAGAGAGTTGAGGGTCTGATTGGGCCTGGGGTGGAGAGATGGGGCTGGCATACTTGAGCTGGAGGAACTGGCACATCCTCAAGGAGAGCTTGGTCAGAAAAGTCCAGTCTGGGGGTCTAGAGTCTTAGGGCCACAGGTCCCAGCCCTCTAGAGCGGTGCTGTCCAACGGAAGTTTCTGCCGTGATGTGGATTTTCAGGATGGGTATCACGTTAAGCAAACAGCCGGATGGTCTAGTAGCTTCCATGTTGAGCAGGGGAATCCAGTCCTGCTCTGCGCCTCCCACAGGGCTAGGGAGTCAACCAGGATGGCCCTGACCTGCTGACAGGCCTCCCCCTTCCTAGCCTGCCTGCCCCAGCCCGTGTGCATGGATGCCAGGGCCTACTGGAGGGCCTCACTGCCCATTGTCCTGCTGGTGTGTCTCTGCCTAGCCCAGGCTTTCGGCTACCGGCTCCGGAGGGTCATTGCAGCCTTCTATTTCCCCAAGGTATGACCCTCCCCAGAGCTTTCCAGGCCCACACGCGCACATGCACACGCACACGCACACGCACACACGCACACAGCTCCCTACAAAACACAGCTCCCTACCACGCCATTTTCCCCCTCCACACTGCTACCATCGTTGAACTGCTCTCCCTCCCCTAGCGAGAGAAGAAGCGGGTCCTGTTCCTCTACAATGATCTATTGAGGAAGAGAGCAGCTTTCACCAAACTGAGGAGGACTCTCATCATAAGGCGCGCTCAACAGCAGAGGGGTCCAGTAAGTCCGACCATGTGTGCCCCGCGGCTGTGCCTGGCACCGAGGACTGTGGGACAAGGGCCATTTCCCTTCAGTCCACTAAGCTCCCACCAGAGCCCTAGGCCTATAGGAACTGAGTGTCACGATTCATGCTAGCTCCTGGGTCAGAGCAGTGTCCATCCCCAGACCCAGGACTAGCCCAGTGTGAGATGGTCAGTGGGCCATCTGGAAGCAGGAAGAGAGCGGATCAGAATCTGGGTGCAGGTGTATACCCATAATCCTAATTTCTCAGGAGGCTGAGGCAGGATTCTACGTTTGAGGCCAGCCTGGGCAATTCAGCAAGACTGTGTCTCAAAAAATATATGTATATATACATATAAAAGGGCTGGGATATAGCTCAGTGGTAGAGCACCCTGGGTTCAGTCCCCAGCTTTGAAAAGAAAAGAAAAAGACCTGATGCGGCCTGGCACAAGGAAATCAAGGGGATTCATCAGAAAGAGGGGACCAAGGCACAGCACTGGTTCTGCTGAGGGGACTTCAACTAGTTCAGTGCAGTTCAGAGGAGGGGAAGCGGGGGTCAGGAAGGCCTCCGACGGGCACATGAGGCGTATGGGCACAGCGCCAAGTCTGGAGTCTGGAGAACCAGGTTCTAGTCCACATGCTCTTGTTAAGGAGCCCTAAGCTGGGCACGGGGGTGCGTGCTGTCATCCCAACACTCCAGGAGGCTGAGGCCCGAGGATCACAAGTTTGAGTCCTGTCTTGGGCAAACTCAGCAAGACCCTCAGCAACTTAGTGAGAACCTGTCAAAAACTAAAATGGGCCGGGACCTGGCTCAGTGGTAAAGAACTCCTGGGTTCAATCCCTAGGAAAAAAGTTGTATGACCTTGGCCAAGGTCCTCACTAGGCCTCATTTTCTTGCTCTGAAGAATGGGGAAGCCCTCTCACTAGAGATCAGAGTGGCCAGCAGATGCCAAAAGGATTTGAACCCTAGCTCTTCCCAGTGGAGCACCTTGTTTAACTGCTGTGCCTTGGTTTTTCCCTTCATTGAAATGTGGTTAATGACTCCATCTGGTTTTGTTTTATTTTTTGGTACCAGGGATTGAACCCAGAGTGTTTAACCATGGAGCCACATCCCCAGCCCTTTTTATATTTCGTTTAGTTGCTTAGGGCCTCACTAAGTTGCTGAGGCTGGCTTTGAACTCATGATCCTCCTGCCTCAGCCTCCTAAATACAGGTATGCACCACCACGCCTGGCTTTCATCTGGTTGTTGTAAGGATTACATGACATGGTTCTGGATGAGTGTTTGCTGTCATTGTCTACCTCTGGGCAAATGAACAACTCTCCAAGCATCAATTTTCTCACCTGAAACAGAAATGATAGTGATAACAATATCTGCCATACATGGTGTGCGTGTGTGTGTGTGCGTGCGTGTGTGTGTACCATGCTGGGAATGGAAGGGGTCTCACAAGAGGCATCCTCTGTCTCTGAGCTATACCCCCAGCCTATAAAGTTGTTTTTGAATTGAGTTAATTTACTCCAGTCTTTCAGCGCAGGGCCCAGCATTATAAACAGAACAATGAATGGCAGCCACACTGGTTTAGTCAACCCTCACAAAGTTCACAGAGATGAGAAAGCTCATAAGCTTTTTCCTCCAGTGCCTAAACCTCCCTGGTCCCCCGTGACACACAATAGAGACCAAATGAATGTCTGATGGAAAAATGACCATCCTGGGATTCCATGACCTTGTCCTGAAGTAAACAGAATGTAACTCAGTGGTCAAGCACTTGTGTAGCCTGCACAGGCTCTGGGTTCCATCCCCAGCAACACACACACACACACACACACACACACACACACTGTAAGGAACATGCATTCTAAACTAAGTGCAAAGACCTGGACCTCAAGGGAGTGCCCAGTGCCATGGGCTGGGCTAAGGAGAAGGCGGACAGAAGAGGCGGTATCCAGGGAGGTAGGACAGAGGCTACAGAGAGACAGATAATGGAAGCCTCTGAAGGCCAAACCCAGGAGAACTCCTGTAGTCTGGCAGGCAGAGAGGCAAAGAGGTACCTGACAAAATGGCCTGTAGAGGAAACCTTGCAATTGTGGGGGGAAAGGGTGTGTGGAGGTGGGGAACCTAAAGATAACAAGGCTTGTCATTTGGAATCAGGGGACCTGGATCGGGCCAGGTTTGATTTACTGTCCTCATGCCTTTAGAAGAGTCACTTCATCTTTCCAGAGAGTCACCTTTCTCACCTGTTAAGTGGGGATAATAATAGTCAGTCTGTCTGCCCTACCCACTTCTCAGCCTCACCGGGGGAACAAAATAAGATGATTCACAAATGCAAATGACAGTGTTCTGACATATCCCTACGGTGGCCCTGGAGACCACAGCCTGTCCAGGCTCCATTCTGAAGTCGGGACCTACTGCCATAGGGTCTTCTTTGCCCAACCCAGTCCCCTCCAACACGTGGGCACCGTTAGTCCTTGGGACCTCAGACAGGCCTGTCCCGAGCCCCTGGCCATCCCTTTTTCCTTCCTCTCACTTCCGGACTGGCACTAACCACCGCCACCTCCTAACAGCGCCACCACCTGGTGGACACCCTGCACCACCGCTGCCCGCTCGTGCGCCGCTGGCTGCGCCGGCGATGCGTAGTGTGCCAGGCGCCCGAGACACCCGAGTCCTACGTGTGCCCAACGCCAGAATGCGACGCCGTGTACTGCCAGTCGTGCTGGAACGACATGAAGAATCTGTGCCCGGTCTGCACACCCCGCGAGGAGCTCTCCTCCTCTGCTTACAGCGACAGCAACGATGACCTTAAGTACGCGGAGTGAGGGGCGTACCTCTGGCTTCCGCCCACCTTCCCGTTTAATAAAACGTCTTGCTGGCTCCTGCCGCCCGCGCTTCGCTGGGGTCTGGGATCGGGGAGCTGGACGCTGCCTAGCAGGCAGTCGGGAGAGCTACCCTCTTGACCCCCACGGGGCCGGGCCACGGACCTGAGGCGAGGCTCCTAAGGGGGTGCCGGGCGCCGGCCGGAGCGCGGGAGGGCAGAGCCGGCCAGACCCCGCTCCCGGCACAGCTGCGGCTCAGCGGAGCGGCGGGGGCGGAGCCGCCGCTGGGGGCGGGGCCCGGCTTCTGTGGGACCCCGCGAGACGGGGGCGGGGCCTCGCGGAGGGCGGGGCCTCGGGCGGAGCCTGGCTCGCGGCCGGGAGGGAGGGGGCGAGGCGGGGCCTGGTGGCCGTGCGGCTCGTGTGGGCGCAGCAAGCAGACCCGGCCGCCGCGGTCTCTCCGCGCGCGGTCCCGCACCTGCTGCCCTCGCCCGGCCCGGGGCGCCGCTGCCATGCGGCTGGCGCTGCTCTGGGCCCTGGGGCTCCTGGGCGCAGGCAGCCCTCTGCCTTCCTGGCCGCTCCCAAATATAGGTGAGTCCTCCACCAGGAATAGGTCGAGGGGCGGACGGGGAAGAGGTTCAGGGAAATCTGGAGGCTTCCGAGTGCTAGGGTCAGCCGCAGAGACCAGCCCGAGGGCGGCCTGCCTGGTTGGCTGTCCCCGGCCTAGGGCCCCGTGACTTGGCGATGGAGGGCAGAGAGGAGGAGTGATGCTGGGGTCCCCCGCCCGGTCGTCCTTGGCGATGTCCCGATGAACACTTTCAGACTCAGATACAGGCACCGAGGGGCCCTCCCAGTGCCCCCTCGGGATCATGGAAAAGGGTCGCTCCTCCCCAGGACTGACGTCTTCGCTCTTCTGGGGCCTAGCTGACAGTTCCACCCAGTGCCAGGCTGACGGATGGGCACGGTGCGTGGGGTTTAGTAAAGAGGATCCTTACCAGCCCCTCATCCCAGGCCTGGGCTTCAGGCACCCGTCACCCTGGTGCTGTTGCCACCAGAAGCCTGTCTGAGCGGGAGGGGCCGGGAGGAGCCAGGAGAGGGGAGCACTGGCCAGGAAAGAGGCTGGACACCAACTCCTCCTTGGAACTTTCACTTCCCACTGCTGTCTTGGGCCGGGGGCCGAGAGGGCAGGCGGGGGTGGAGTGTCCGGAGGACAGAGGGCCATGGGGAGGGGGGATGCTGCGGGAGGAAGCGGAGGCTGTGGGGAGCGGGTGTGTCAGACTGGACATGAGGGGTGTTCAGGGAGGCGAGGGTGTTTGCACTGCTCACCCAGAAATGGGCGTTCCCGACATTGCCAATGTGAAGGAAGGGGAGGGCGAGTGGGCATCCTGCCACAAGGCTTCGCCTAGTCCAAAGAGGGCGTTCTGGACGGCGGTGGTGTGTGGCGGGGGTAGGGGAAGGAGTGGGAACAGGGGAGGGTCCCTGGGAGAACCTGGGATTGGCCAGAGGGGGACAAGGAGGGGCCACAGGCTGGACAGGCTGAACTTCTTTCTCTGGGACTGGTGTATGGGTTGGTGGGTGGCAAGCGCTCATCTGGAGAGGAGGCGCCCTCCCCCCCACTATTTTCCTTTAAGTTCTGGTGTGCAGTGCAAGAGCCCTTTGGATGCAGAGGGCCTTGATGTGCTGGGAGCTGGTGGGTCTGGGTAAGGACCCCCTCAGCCCTCTCCTGGGAAACCCTGCAGGTTTCATGGAGGAACAGCAGGCCAGACCAGAGAGGGCCGGGAGTGGGCCCTCGCAGCCCCAGATCCTTCAGGACAAGGTCCCTATTGGCCTAGCAGAGGTGTTTCAGGTGAGCATCCTCTAACAAACATACACCCCATCCGACCCCAGCATCATCAGGTGTCTCAGGACCAAAGCTTGGCTGAGGAGCCAGTAAGTGACCTCATTGTAGCAGGTCCACTGCAGGTCCCACTCCCTCCCCCACCACACCCCAACACCTGGCTTCACTTATCTCCTTTTTCCCTCTATGCACATCTGTCTGCCTCAGCTCCACCCAATGCAACCGTCTCCTGAGGGAATTTCTGAAGCCAAACTTGCTTATTTTGTCTCATGTTGTCAGTTTTCTCAGTGGGGGGATTTGGAAAGGGTAAGGGCTTCACACACACCCCCCCCCATTCTAAAGCTGAGTCAGAGGAAGGGCTGAGGCCTGTGCTGGGTCCTCTGTGATGCTTCCTCTCTGGGCAGGAAGCCGAGAAGGGGCGTCTTAGATACCTTCCTTGACCTCCCCACACAACCCCCCAGAACAATGCCCCAGGCCAGGCAGGGCTTCCTGGTCCCTCCCTGGGGATCCCCCCACCAGTGACCTAATCATTGGTGCTCTCCTGAGGGCTTGAGGTTTTCTGGCTAGAGATGGTAGGCGTCATGGGAAGGGCTAAGAAGATGACATGTTTTCTGGTACCCACAGACGGGTCTGTCTAAGGCCATGAGGATCAAAGTGGAGCTGGACGGTGACAGTTACATCCTGGAGCTGCTGCAGAACAGGTAAACCGGCAGGATGATACTAATCACACGGAACTACTTGTGCAGCATTTACCATGTGCCAGACACTAAGTGTCTGCACTCATGGGTCCTCAAAACCACCTTGTATTGTCCTCATTTTACATATGAGGAAGTCAAAGCACAGAGAGATTAAATAACTTGCCTAAGCTGGGCATGGTGGCACAAGCCTGTAATCCCAGCGGCTCAGGAAGCTGAAGCAGGAGGATCACGAGTTCAAAGTGAGCCTCAGCAACTTAGCAAGGCGCTAAGCAACTCAGTGTAACCCTATCTCTAAATAAAATATAAAAAAGGGCTGGAGATATGGCTCAGTGGTTAAGTGTCCCTGAGTTCAATCCCTGGTAAATAATAATAATAATAACAACAACAACAACAATAATAATAACAACAACTTGCCTAAGGTCATGCAGCTAGTGTGTGTCAAAAACTAGATTGGGACTGACAACAGTGGTACATGCCTATAATCCCAGAAGTTCGGGAGGCAGTGGCAGGAGGATTGCAAGTTCAAAACCAGCCTCAGCAACTTATCGAGACCCTAAGCAACTCAGTAAGACCCTGTCTCTAATTAAAAATATAAAAAAGGGCTGGGGATGTGGCTCAGGAGTTAAGTGTCCTGGGTTTGATCCCTGGTACCAAAACAAACAAACAAACTAGAGTGGAATCCAGATACCCTGACAGAATCAGGGGGCCAACCCCTATACTCTGCTCCCTCAGGGAAGGTGGGAGTTGGGGACACTGCCTGGCCCTCCAGTCCCCACTCTACTGCCTTAGGCCTCCGCTTGTCACTGTACCATCCTGTGAGTCACCTTGGACACTGCCATGATTTTTCTTCACTCCACAGGGATTTAGTCCCAGGTCGCCCAACCCTGGCATGGTATCAGCCAGATGGCACTCAGGTAGTCAGTGAGGGACATACTCTGGTGAGTCAGGTCCTCCTGTGCCCTGTTTCTGGCCTGGATGAGGGAGGGGGGGAGCACCGGGGGGTGGCAGCCTGGACATCTTGGTTAATAAGTCAAGACCTCTGTGTTCCGTGCTATCCTCCCTGAGAGTGGCACTGATATGTCTCTGCTGCAGGAGAACTGCTGCTATCAGGGCAGAGTACAAGGCCATACCAGCTCCTGGGTCTCCATGTGCGCCTGCTCCGGGCTCAGGTACCGTGGCTGGAGTCCCTGACAGGAAAGAAGGACACCAGGCCTGGAGCTGAAAGTTTCTCTCACTTCTGTTTCATTTCTTAGGGGCTTGGTGGTCCTGTCCCCAGAGAGAAGTTATGTCTTGGAGCTGGGGCCTGGGGACATTCAGGGTCCTCCCATTATCTCCCGGATCCAAGACCTTCGCTTGCCAGGCCACATCTGTTCCTTGAGCCGGAATGCCCCTGTGCCCACGCAGGCTCCACCAGGGCACCCCCTGGGACAACGCCACATTCACCGGGTAAGGAGGAATGGCAGAGGGCTTGGGCTTCGGGTATCTTCAGTGCTGACCCCAGCCCCTAGAGTTCTGTTCCAGGCAGCTCTACTGATGGAGCCCTTTGCACATGCCAGGCACTTTGTGAACAGTGCTTCACTTACTCTTCCCAGCAACTTTCCGAGGTAGCAAGAGCTCTACTGTAAAGGAGGAAACTGGTTCAGAGGGGTTAGGTGATGGCCCAAGGCCCCCACTAAGAAATGGTCTCACCAGGATCCAGAAGCAGGTGTTCAACTCAAACTCCCCACTCGTCTTACGATTCCATTTACAGAGAGCTCTCACTTGGGTATAGAAAATACACAGTTACCAACCAGACAGCAATAAAACATAAAACAGGTCCTGACATGTTTGCTTTATAGGGTTGTTGTGAAGATGAAATGAATCTATCATCCATCTCCATATATATGTTTAGCTTAGCACCATGCTTGGCAAATGGTATTACCACACAGTCAGTATTTATAGCATTTATAGTGCCAGCATGTATGTATTTATGTGGTACTGGGGGTTGAGCCCAGGGACACTTTACCACTGAGCCACATCCCCAATCCTTTTTGGCTTTTATTTAGATACAGGGTCTCCCTAAATTGCTTAGGGCCTTGCTAAGTTGCTGAGGCTGACCTTGAACTTGCAATCCTCCTGCCTCAGTCTCCTGAGTAGCTGGGATTACAGGTATATGCTACTGCATCTGGCTAATATTTATTTGTTTTTTAATAATTTTTTTTTTTTAAAGCACTGAGTTTAGAGCTACAAAAGCAGGGCTGTACTCCCATCTTCCTAATCGACTTCTTGGTCCACCTTGGGCAAGTCTCTGTCCTCTGTGGCTCTCCGGGGTTCTTTGCCCTCTTCAGTGGAACCACAGGGTGGGAGTGGACATAGCTTAGTTGGCCCTGGGGCTACCGGTAGATTGACCCGAGGCACCCTCCTTTCTGTCCACAGCACAAGCGGGACGTGGTAACAGAGACCAAGATTGTCGAGCTGGTGATCGTGGCCGACCATTCAGAGGTGAGCCTGCCGGCCTCTGCGGTCTCCCCTGCCTTCCAGCCACCC